GTGCATCCTCATATCCCGTTCGCCACGGCTTTTGATTTTTACAATACATCCTGGCGAACGATTATGTCTCATTTACCTGAAAATCGCTGGCACGCTCAGCCTCGTGTCACGTAAGCCTGGTGGTCGCAGATCGTCGCGAACGAGCGTGTTATTTTTCATTAAAATAACCAATCCTGTTATCTTTCTTTCTTTCGAAACGAACACCTGGTTTAATTAAGCCTGTTTTCGTGTGCAACGCTCGCGTCTCTCCCTCTCTTTCTTTGTTCGACCTGATAAATCCCAGCACTTTCGAATCCAACCGCCATGATTCACGTGGAAACAACGCGTCTCGAGAGATTCTCGTCGGATTTTTGCGCGTTCGTGGGCGTATTAATCCGCCAGGTTCGAAAGAAATAAAGAGCCGTTTTATTAAATTAAGGTTAACGCGGCAAAGTTGCCGCGTTCCCTGTACGTGTTCCAGAAGTTCCGCCGGATCCTCGAGCTACTCCGGGGATTTTAATGAGGCTCCGCTCGATCGGAACCCGAGGCGTTCCCTAATGAGTCGATTTTATAGTCGCCATTCTAGTCGGGGAGGGGAAAAAAACCGCGGCCAATTAATTAGTTAAGCCGCGCGACTGCTGCCCCGGCCTCTGTTCGCGGCGTCTTTTATCCGGATTTATCGATCCTCCTTCAAGCTTGCCACGTAAAAACTGGCGTTGGTATTATCGGAGGCGATGCAACGAATTTCCTCCAAAGAGATTCGCGTGTTTCTTAATCGCTTCTCTACTAATCGACGCTAATATAATTAACAAACTTTCGGTACCTTTATTTTCCCTCCTGCTAAATCTTCATTCGAGACGTTGAAATTTTTCTGGGTTTTATCTAAGAGTTATTCTCAGTCGAACTGGAAATCCCAAGATTTATCGACGCTAGAAGCGTGCAGAATTTTATTAAAATCGTGCGGAATCGACGGAATATGAAATTTGTAGTGGAAACGTTAGGTAAGTTGCAACAAGCGGCAACGATAGTGGACGCGGCACAGAGGATCACGAGCAGCCTCTTGGTCTAAGCGGCCGGATCGAGCGTGGAAGGTGGATGGGGATACGGGCCGATAAACACCGCATTACTCCACTGGAAGAGCATTTCTCGCGCCAACATACGGCCTACGAACGTAAGCTCGGTCACCTATCGGCCGCTTCGATCTAGATTAGGACACTTAGCCGTAACAAATTTGAATCTGATTACCTCCAACGAGATTGGACGGACTTTGCTCGGAATTACGCGGCTAAACAACCTTACAGAACCGTCGCGTATACGTTCCTTTAATGTTTCTACTACCGTCTCACTCTAATTATTCACGGAATCGTCGGACACTTTTACAATTTATAAATTGCTCATAATTTAAGAAAATTGACCAATTTCCGTTCGTTCATTTCTTGAGATAAAATCGAATTACTATTTTTGTATTATTTACGAAAGTACGATCGTTAACTTACTTTCAGACTGTACAGCTTCGTGCAATAGCAACAAAGTGGCGGTAATCGGTGTTCTTTCGCTAATCGTCAGGTGAAATTGTAACGACAATTAGCCGAGGGATATCGAACGTTGTAAAATGGTGAATATGTCCAAGTAGAGAGGTCGAACGATGAATCTTGGTTGGTAAACGGAGGCAGAGATCGGTGGAACGGATCGAAGTGATCGCATGCTACAAATCCACGGCCCTCCATATGCATATTTTCACAATATCGCACGGTTCCATGTTGCCTCAGGATAGGTACACGTAGATCCCTCATAAGGGAGATATCGTTTCCGAATCAAATGACCCATTCGGTTTTAGTGGCGCCATTTAACCGACATCTATGCGCCTCTGGCCATCCGACACGAGGTAACCGTTACACGGCAAACATAGAAAGTCTCGCCATCGGCCGCTTCTGCCATCCCTCGATAATACCGTGCGCGCTTCCACCCTGCTGCCACTGGCTAACAGAGCAGCGTGTCTCTCCTCCCGAGCAATTAACAGTTCTCTCGTTGATCATCTCCGGGCCATTCGTTCGTCGACTTTATCGTTCCTCGCTACCTAGTTACGTTTATGGAACTCGTAGAAATTTCGGAAATTAATCGCTATTTCCATTAATATCGACGGGAGGAGAGGAGGGAAAGTCGACCTCGCGTTTGCAACTATTTTTGCCGAACACACGCTCTACTTTCGCGTCGGTGAATTCGAACATATTGTGGGAGTGATGGAATGTCTGAGGGTAGTTAGTCTGGAGCCATAGTTGCGCGAACGAAGGGTGCTTTAGAGATGCGAAAACAGAGCGAAGAGCAAAGGAGGATAAGCGACCACCAGAAGATTTTTGTGAACGTGACTGAATGCTTTTTAAGAATCTCTGCCTGGTGTGAAAGGAATAGAGAATTAAGGAAAGAGAGAATCGGGGGTATGAGGCTAAATGAGGGTGAAAGAGGCGCGCACGGGACAGTCGTTGAGGAGTATGATTCCTCCTGGTACCATCTATTCAGTCCTGATTTTCATGGATGGCATTAGGAGGATGATTATCGAACGTCAGCGATCCTCGATCGTTCCTTATTTTTCTAAGCGTCGCGGAAAGTCTGCATCTCGCCCCTGCATCGAGGTCGCAGGACAAACTTGAAAATTGACAGTCAAAAGTAAGAACAGCGAGAGAACATATACACGTCGTTACTTCTTAAAGCACCCAATAAAACCCAAATTATTCACCTGAAACCCCTACAGCACCCTACGCGAATTATTTATTTCGCGCATTAATTAGGAAGTTCCAGGGCTTCGAAACACTTAGACACTAAAGGCTACAAGTATTGCAGGTATTAGTAGACAATTTCCTCGAGCTTCTCAACGCCCTTCGCGCTAACTTAGCGTTCCCTACTTAGAAAATAGGAGGTCGACCGACGGCTGGGTAAGAGCATCTGGGACCACATCCAACGCGTTCGGATGAGATCGGCGGGGGTGGAACACGTGTTCGATGGCCCGGGTGGACTGTGAAATCGTAGGGTTGGGGCGGATGGGTGGCAGAAAAATAACAGGAGGGCTGGGTGTACCGGATGGAGTAGGTAAGACGTCGTTTCGTACATCCGGCGCTCCTACGGAATTCGAATCTGAACTCACCAAGTCGAACACGATGGCGAAACCTTCTCTCTCTCTCTCTCTCTCTCCCTCCTCTCTCCTCCCGTTCGCTAGTTTTATACGAACGGCTACGAGGACACCTTATAAAAAAAGCTAAATCATCCCTCTGCCCCCGGTACCCACGATGATATTAATGTAGATTTTCATTTATTCCGCGGCGCGCGCGCCTCCTTTCCAATCTGGCGAGCTACCAAATTGGAAAGCGGCGCAGTTGCGAACTTTTCCTTCCCCTTGCCGCGAGGCGGTAGACTTGGCCCCGACTTCGAATATGTATTACAGCAAAGTAATCCAATCCCCGAGTTGAACGTAACCCCGTGGCTTCCATTGATTCATCGAACAATCTGCGAGAGAGCGCTTAGAGTACTTCTCCTCCCTCCGAGCACCAAACGCGGAGGAATTAGATGATTTTCGGTTACACCGTGCCCCTCTACCAAACTGCCCCGGAGGAACTTTCCGATTAGCCTGTACCGCGGTCTGAGTATATATATATATATAAGTATTCACGGAGGAACGTTACCCTCTAACGACATCGTCTCGCCGTTTCAATCTCGAATTTGTCTCCGAGCGCGATTAAGCTCGAGAAAATTCTCGCGAAATACGCGCGGCAAGGAGGTTCCGCCAAGACGATTCGTCAGCGTGAAATACAAGAAAGGATAGGCTGTGTGTTTGGGCAACATCGGCGGAGAAAAAGGGTTCGCCCGGATTCTCTCTCGCGCGTTCAGCATCCAAGGGGACTGGCGACGATCCAAATTGAAAAATACATTCACGATGTTTTCTTTGCCCTTCTGCGGAGGCCAGGCAGCTCGTAGAATCTCCGGGAGGGTGGCGAGGATCGCGTTGGGGAACCGAATGATATAATGGATCGTGGAAAATGCGGGTTGAAAGTTAGGGGTTCAAGGGGCTCTCTCTGGTTATATAGAGGAACGAGCTGGGTGGGGGTGGATTTATAATGAAAGCCGTAGAGTTGGACTTGGATTTGTGAGGGTACTACAAACCCTGGCAGCCTAGCCAGTCAGCCAAAGAGGCAACCACCCGTCCAAAGAGCCGGTGATCCACGGTTGAAACAGGCCGAGAGGAGGGAACCAGGCTGGCTATGGTTGCCTGCGTTCAACAAGGAATCCAATCGCCACGTGATCTGTATAATAGCCGTGCTAAACCTTCCTACCCTTTCCGACCTTCTATCCCACCCACTCGACCACCCTGCGTGCAATCCCACGGGTGGAATTGCAAATAACAAACGTTCACCTATCACGGTCGCCTCTTTCCACCTCGTTGCCGAGTCGAAGCAGCGAACAAAGGCCGGTTCGAACGAGTGTATACGTATACTCTCTCTCTACGCTGGTAGTATCCAATAGAGAAGACCATGAAACGAAGCCATAAATCCGTATAAGTTAGCCGGTGCAGCTGTAACCGCACGATATGGCTACGGCTTAATTAACCTACGATATCTACGTGCATAGACCGGATGGGGTTTAATGAGGTTTCACGGGATCGGTTGGCACGCACGTGAAACTTAAAATGGGGAAATTAGCTGAGAAACTGTTTCGCACGAGTCCTTCTCTCAGCCTAGCCGAGGAAATAGAGAAATCTTTCCACGAAATCTGTGGCTCGTTCGCCTCGCGTTAATTATCGCGCAACACGAACTTTACGAGAGTTTTACTCCGGTTAGTTCCGTTGCAGATTTTTCGGTTCGCATTGGAAACATCGCGGTCGATTAGAATCGGTTTTGGTCCGAGTGTGCGTCGAGCCGCGAGTTAAAGTGGGTGAAACGAGGACCGTGGAACAAAGTCGTAGTGCAGGAGGATTAGTCGCGACGCATTATAACGCTCGCGTTGATGAGAGGAAGGTACATTCGTGACCGAGACTAGGATGTGCTCGAGCAGTCCCTCAGTGGCTCGTTAAGGCATTTGCATTTCATTTCGTCCCTCTTCTGCTCCCTCTCATCCCCCGTCAGCCTCCGTAGCCAGCCCCTCTTTTCCCGTATAAATATTAATGCAACATCCTCCTCTCTCGGGGGGTTTTTGTTCCTCTTCTGTCCCGAAGAGAGCGGCGCCCTCCTTCTACCCGAGTACTTTGAATGCTGATGCGCTACCAAGCCTCCGCGCGTCCTTTCTTCTCTCTTTTCCCCTCTCTTCTCTTTGCTCCTCTGAAGCGGACCGCTCGCGCACACGAGCCACGTTCTTTAATGAAATACGATTTATGAATATTTCCCGTCGCGGCTCCTGGAAAAAAGAACTCCTCGCCTCTGCAAATGGCGAACGGTCCTCGATGGTCTGCAAACGCTTGCATTTACACTTCTGCGGGTGCAACTGTGAATACTGCTCACAAACAATTCCTCTCGGCAACTAGCTTCACAAATTTTCCCAACAGCCAACCAATGGTACGTCAAATATTGCTTCGCTTAATTAATTTATTACAGCCCGTTAAAACGCGCGAGACGTTCCCTTAAATCCCGAGGAAGCCGCGTTATTAGAATGCAGGAGGTAGGGTCGAGTTTTTCGTATTTTCGCGTTCGGATTTCCGCGTCTCGCGAATTTCTTTGAAGTACGTGCCGAGCGGCGGCGAAGGCAGGAGAAAACGAGAAAAAGGAAACGGTTAAGAGGAAGAGGGAGAGAGAGAGGACGGTTTGTGGAAGTACGGAGACAGTAAATATATACGGAATAGCCGGGGGTAGGTATATGCAGGGCGGTAACGTGGTAAGATGGGCCTCTGCATTGCCGGCATGATTGCCTCTATGGCACATCGAGGCAATCCCCGCGGCTACGTGCCCGACATACATCCGCTTCCATCTTACTTTCTTTTTCTTCCCGTTTTTCCACAGTCCCGGTCCCTCTGTCCTTCTCCAACTTCTCTCTTCTCCATCCCCCCGCGGTTTTCGCCGCTCTCGACGACGATCTTAGATATGCAGCCGGCACCCATGCCGCGCTCACCACCATACTTAAACGACGAGTCCCTGAAACTTTTGCCCGCTCGTATATCCCGGCTAATTAGACGAGTTGAACGCGTGCCGGTCGGATTAATGCCTGCCACGAGATAAGCCACTAATTCCCGGCGAAACCACGCCAGTTCGATTGCTTCAAACGAGGAAAAAAATTCCACTTTGGAGGAATCGAGCTTGATCGTGGAGTTAATTTCTGGTTAGATTGGAGATCTTAATTGATGACGGATCAAGAGGAAATTTTGTTGCTTAAGACGGTGTTTTTTTTTTTCTTTTTGGTAGGGGATAAGGGAATAGAATGGAAAAGGATGGATAGATAGAAAGAACGTTTACGGTCGGGAAGGATTTCTCTAAGCGGAATTGCAATCGTTCGTTGCAACGTAGACGATTTAGAATGGCGCTCGCACACGGTCTGATCTAGAAGAAAGGAGCGTTTACAGGCGTTCCCGAATACATTCGCGAGGAGGAATTCACCGGTGAAGATAGCTCCCTCACGTTTCGCTGTAGATGCCGTTTAGAAGAGGGGTGGGATCGAATAGATGGCACCTTAAATTAGCATTAGGCGACGTATCCGTAGTTACGATCGCGTAATTTATCGGGTCTTGCTGCAAGTTCTCGCGGTTTTGAGCCGTTCGCCTAACCAAGAACACAACTCCCCTAGAATTTCATATTTTCGCTCGAAACAACCATTATTATACTGTACTATAAAAAAATCATATCTTCATGGTTAAAATATTTCAAAGTTATTTAAAGATCGTTCCAAGTCAATTCAGTGTCGTTCGGAAGTTAGGTTACGTTTAAAAATTTCAAAATTACTTAAAAGTCGTTCAAAGTCAATTCAGTATCATTCAGAAGTCGTTCAAGATTATATTAAGATGATTTTAAGGCAGCCAGTGGTCATCTGAAGGAAAAGAAGGGGAAAAAATGTTACATCAACGGGGTGTCTGTTTTATCTCAATACAGCGAAATATCTTTCAAGGAAGTGACGTTAGGGAAAATATGTTTTAACAAAAGTTGTTTTGTACGGAGGGGGACATTACGTGGTACAAATATTTTTTTTCAAAGTAATTTTTTTAAATGGAATGCTATAACTTCTTATACGTAATATGGTAGTGTATGTTAAGACGAGACCAACGAGGTGCGAACAAAGTCATTTCCTTTGATGAAACAGACACACGCGACAGTGAGGAACGTATGGTTAGGTAGGTGCGAACAAAGTCATTTCCTTTGATGAAACAGACACACGCGACAGTGAGGAACGTATGGTTTTTCGCAATTTTACGACCTTCCCTGAAAGGAAATGACTTTGTTGGCAGCTAGTTGAACTCGTCTCAACATACACTATTATATTACGTATAAAAAAGTATAGCATTTCATTTAAAAAAATTGAACTGTCTCAGAAATATCCCCCATCATACCAGGTACAAAAAAAGTATTTACACCACATAACGTCCCCCTCCATACCAAACAACTTTTGTTAAAACATTTTTCTCCTAACGTCACTTCTTTAAAAGATATGTCGCTGTATTGAGATAAAACAGACACCCTGTATATTCAGAGGTGCTTCGAAATTATACTGAAGTCATTTGAAAGCAGTCAGAGGTCATCTAAAGAAGAAGAAGGAAAAAAATTATTACATTAATATTCAGAGGTCGTTCAAAATTATACTAAAGCCATTTGAAGGCGATCCAAAGAAGAAGAAGGGAAAAAAATATTATATCAATATTCAAGGGTCGTCGAAAATTATCCTAAGCTCATCTCAAAGCAATGAAAGGTGATTCAAAGGAAAACCATTATATCGACATAATTCCACGTCCAGGCGCCGTTCGAAACGTTAGCAAGGGAGCTGCTCGCAATTACACCCAGCGTTCCTCGATATGAGAATTAATTTCAAGACAAAATAGGGGTCTTCCTAAATCCTCTTAATCGAATCTTCCTCGTCGAAGAATAGCGTAATTAATCGAGAAGCTCTCTCTATCGCCCGATTCATTCCTCGTTAACGAAACGAACGAGATAAAGCATCGAAACGAGGCGCAATATGATCGAGAGGCGGCTCGTGTCGTCGGCGGATTCGTAAGGGCTGAGCATTAGTAAGTCGCGAGGGTGATTTCGGGGAAGCTCTATGGTAAAAGCTGCCGGCACGAGGCAGCGGTAGCTCACCAGCGTTTCATTAGCAGAAGATGCTCCCCGCGGAGGCGTACGTAGAGAAACAGAGAGAGAGAGAGAGGGGATGTAAAGGCTGGTTCGAAGAAGAAGGTGGAACGGAGGCGGGAAAGCGAGATTAGAATCCCGTGCATGGTTGGAGGCGCATATATCGGTCAATAACTCACGTCCAACAGCGTGTACCTTCCTCCTCTAAGATAGCTTTTCCTTATATTCCCTCGATCTCGAAAATGCGATAAAGTCGTCACGGGACGATTTCATTTATCCCGTTAATAGCCACACTTGGTCGGCTACGAGAAAATATATACCTTTATTAATCACGGCCGCTCACGGAGTCTGTTTCTCGATCGTACCAAAACTATCTTCGTACCGATCCAGGAATCTCGATAATTATCGGTAAAACCGTTCTTCAACAAACGGTGTCTTCCTCCGATATAACCAAACTTCCTCCTATTTATTCACTCGTAACTTCGACCGTAACTATCGACCGTTTTACCAACTTTTAGAAATGATTTGCAACGGCAGAAGAAAATAGGAAATTCTACGATGCTACAACGAAGAAAATGGTGATTCACGAAAGTAAGGCTATACTCGAAGGATCTCTATACAGCGTAGGCTCCGCGTATAGTGAAGCAATTTAATCGAGAGGTTTTGGGGTGGAGCAGGAGGAGGAGGAGGAGAGCGATCGTTGGTCGGGCGACGCTATGGCGCCAATGACATTTACATCCGCGCGAAGCGGCCAGACAAAAGGGAAACGGACAGTCGAGATACGTCAGCGAAATCGCCACCGGGCCGGAGCAGTCCGCTTTGATGGGGTTCCACGGTCGCCGGTTCGGTCGTTTCGCAGTAGCATAAATGAGAGGTGAGATTAAACTGGGGGTGACGTATGGTACGCGTCGCCCTCTGCCCAGGAACAACCGCTGCTATTTTTTTTTTTTTTTCGTTTCGTTCTGTTTCCTTCTCCCTTATTCGCTCTCTTTTTTTTTCGAGCTCGCGATTTTTTCCTGTTACGCGCGCACACGCCGTCCCCCGGTTTCTCTCTCCCTCTCTCTAGCGCCGGTAATGGAAGAAACATAGAGGGATCACGGATTCCGAATGAACACGTTAAAACGCGGAAACAAAAAGCAGCAGAGGGTGAGCCGGAACGACGGGAAATGGTCGGAGCGGAGAAAATGGGGAACGCGAGACCCACCGCGGATAAATAACGCGTTATAGGGACGTGGAAAAATAAACATGTAGAGACAAAGGAAGGAAATATCCGTGGTAATCGAAAATTCCATTTCTGCCCGTTTCTCCATTTGCCGGTTAGATACACTCTTCGACGGAGGAAAATTGTATTTTACAAGTCTCCGTGTATATTTATCGCGACGAATTCGACGACTATTCCGCGCGTGCAGGCGAAATCGAATCTAACTGTAATGGAAGAAATATCGGAGGGAGGTAAGAGCTGGTGGCGGAGGGTGCGAAACAAGCGCTGGAGGCAGAAGAGCAGGACAACGGAGAGAGGGCCGCGTCGTTTGGTCAGAGGGTGTTCGTATATATGCCAACACGTGGGATTAACTTGTATCCCGTAAAGCCTCCCGCCGCCAGCATACAAAGGTTGCTCGTAAGTCTCTTCGGATACCTGGCTAACGAAAATTACGATCTTACTAGCACGAGATTCTACTGTACCGGCACATTAGTTTCCCCGCCGTGTCTCTCGCTCCCTTCGCTCGCCCCTCGCCACGTTTTCTCTCGCCTACGCCGCCGCTACGCCTACTACGGAGACCAACAGAGAGAAAGAGAGTAAAGCTGTGGCCGGCCTATCTTGCGACTCTTTTTTCCCTCCTCTCTCTCTCTCTCTCTCTCTCTTTCGCTGCAATAATTCTACCTGTTCGCGTCGATATCTCAGTGGAAGCTATAACGAGGATCACGGGGAAACAGCGGGGGTTCTTTCTTGGCCGCGGTACGATGGTATCGGTCGCCTTCTGGCAATAGAAATAATTACTCCGCGGTTCGAAAGAGTTTGCGAATATACGAGTGTAAAATGGCGTATAAGGAAACACGGGAGTGTAGGAAGATTCGTTGGGTGAGGTTTTTGCAAATTGTTACTTTCTGCATGGAAAGAGGATACTTAGCAATTAACGCGGTGTGTAATTACCGAGAGTAGAGGATATTTAGAAGGTTCGGTCCTCCGTGCGATTGTATCAATTCTGAGTGTTAATTAATGGAAGAGGAAAAGAAAGGAAGGAAGAGAGGTAGCCATTGGGAAATGGGTGTACGGTACGAACCTATGAAATTCGTGGGCAATCAACCTGTCCAATAAATGCAGATAGACGCGTACCTGTCTCGCCTGGCGGAAAAGCTTCCTTTTTTTCCCCGCAGCGAAGGCAGAATTTAACGTCGCCATTATGCAGAACGGGTTGTATTGGCAGAGCCTCAATCCCAATTCCCAGGGATAGCTAGCTGGTCGAATGGCAAAGCCAAACAAACCTTATTTATGTCTCAATTAAAGCCGGGAATGGGATGCACCCTCGATGGAGCGGCTCCAGACAATAAAGCAGTCGAAAGAGGGAGGTGGGGCAGGGTGGAGAAGGAAGAAGAGGAGGAGAAGGAGGAGGTGGAGGAGGAGTAAGAGCAGAAGAATGGCAGCGGAGGGGTCAGGAGAGATAGAGAGGCGGTGGAAAGTGAGCAGGCGAGGGGAAGAGAGAGGGAGAAAGGGATATGGAGGGCCACCGGCAAAAGGGATCGGGGATGGAGACGGAAAACTGTGGATCGTTGAACGCCGACCTCTGGACTCTGAACTTTCCGGGGAGGCAGGACGAGAGAGGGATGCGAGATACCATTGGTTTTAGCCTCCGGATTCTGCGTATATCCGAAACTGAACTAAATACCAGGGGGACACCGAGCTACCGAGGAGATAACGAGCGAACTCGTGAAACGGCCATAGATCAGCCGGCTTAATTATCTCCACGCATCGCTGCCTACCCCTTCTAATCGGCGGCCTACACCCACGTTCGTCGCCAAAGCCAAAGTCTCCCTTTCCATCGTCCTCGTCGAACGATCTCTCGCGACAATCCTTCCTGCCTACCCCTCGAGATATAATTTAATCTATGCATGGACCGTGGGCCCTCTGATACCGCTTGATCAGAGTTCGTTCCGGCGCTATTCATGGCCCCGGCTGTATCACGTATCCTCGTTATTACCAGATATGTACGAACTTACTTTTTTTGCACGAAAAACCGACGTTCGCGTTTCATCACGATTTTTTCCTACGAATTTCAAAGAGGCGAGGGACAGAAAACCATTAATTTCGCCCGGTTGTCGCAATACCTCGCGCAAACCAGAAGACGACGTCCCTTTCGTAAGCGCTGAACGTATCCAGCATGAGTCTTAAACCCGGGACCCGTCGACGATTTGAATATTTCATGCTTATCAACTATGCATCACGTGCACTGTCTCGCCGCCGCGTGTATTTACAAGAGTATCACGAGGAATCTTAAGTTTATTCCCACTTCGCCTCTATGTTTGTACGCAATAAGATACGGTTGATATTTCCCGCTGTCTAACCCCTTCTTTCCTCTCCTTTCATCCCCTCCTCCCACCTCTTCAGCCCGCGCCGCGGAGCAACCGATCCCGAGGCAACACCAACCCTCGTTCCTTTTTATCTCCGCAAAGTTTCCACCCCATCAGGCTCACCCTCGTAACCCCCACACCTCCTTCCTCCCTCCCGCCATCTCCACCACCACCGCCACTCTCTACGGTTCCTCTTTCCGCTACCGGGCACCAACTACCCTCAACCCATTCCCTGCCAGCTCCCCCCCACCTCCTACGAAGCGCCACGGCAGTCATGGCGGCAGTTACGGAATCAATAAAAGTGGTGCTCATGCGCCTCAACTGCCGTCGCTACTGCCGTCCGCCACCACCTCCCAAGCCCCCGGTCCCATCCACCCTCAGCTTCCCAGCCGACGGTGCGACTGCCGATTCACCCGCAACCCTCCTCCTCCTCCACCACCACCACCACCACCACCACCACCATCGCCACCCCTTTTTCCACCTGCTCTGTCCGTCTCGTTCTCCCACGATCGACCATCCCCAGCTTCCAGCCCTCTTTCTACAACGCTCTGGAAAAGCCCAACGCCGCACGACGTCCTCCCACCATCCCCTGGATTTCGTCGTCCTCTTGCCTCCTCTCTCGCCCCTCTTACGAGGACTTTGAATCGCGCCAACTCCAACCTCTTCTCCTCCTCGTCGTATCCATCCTTTCCGGAACTACACCTAAAACTATACACACCGACTATCCGCGCTCGCTCTCTTCTATACCGGGTGTCCCTGTACCGAATTTTCCCGCCGTACCGTGTATCGCGGGATGATTTACTTCGCGTTAGATTCTTCGACGAGGGACGGTGAATCGTTCTCATGCGTTTTACGAGTATGTGTATTATACAGAGTGAATTTTGGGAGAGACTAGAGAATACGACGTCCATCTTCCCCCGCGATATCAATAATGTTTTCGTTACGCCTGGCTCTCGAGGTCCCCTACGTCCGGTCCTCTCTGGCTTATGTTTAAATTGAACGAGGAACCCTCTCTGTATAGCTTGTCGATGAAACGAGCATATATTACGTTGGATTTTTTCAATGCTTCCTCCTGGTTCACTGTATCGATTTCACCTGTAACTTTTCGAGGTTTCGAGAAAAAGAAGAAGCGATAAATCCCGTGCATACATATATGTATATAATATATACGACACGTTCGTTAGAAAAAGCTCATCAATTTCGAATGCGCCGTGTTTCATCGGTGTTCTTTTTTTCATAATTGAGTGCCAGAGCAGTTCGTATCAAAAAACGGCCTCGCCCATTACAGTTTTATCGATGGCACACGGACGCGTGATAAACGACGAAGATTATTTATACACGGTATAAATATTTGTGTCGTTCCAGCCGGTAGAAATATCGCGAGAGATCTAGAATAAATAAAATGAACGAAAAAACAACAACAAAAAAAAGAGCGGCAACACACACTGCACGTGTATCGTTATCTACCGGGTTCCGGGTGATTTCATTGAAAGGACCGCCTTCGGTCTGCGAATCAGTCGGCCGTGTTTTCGAACGTGGAATAAATTCCGAATCTGCCGAATGTATCTTAAAAACGCCATTGCAGACGAAACATTTTCCGCGAGTAAAATGTGTACGAAACACACAGGAAGGGGGAGAGAAATTCTGGTAGCGTGAAATGGGAACGAGGCAGCGTGTGCGAGAGAAACACCGAGAA